AGTCGCTCAACCAACTGAGCCACCCAGGCGCCCTGGATCTCGCTTTTTTCCACGTTGGTATTATGTACAGAGCTCCTTGGTTCCATTGAAAGGCCTTGGTGCGTAGTAGTGGCAGGAAGTGCTTGCCGCCCGCCTCCTGTGGGCCAGGCCCCGCCTACCCGCAGCTCTGCCTGGTGCCTGCCAGCCCCGCGGGGGCTTTGCTTCTTCCATTTCCTTCCTTTCTGGTCCTGTTCTGTGTACTTTTCAATCACCCCTGTCTGTCTGTTGAGGTCAGGATTGTTCTGGGGGGCCAGGCCCGTGTCTGCTTCAGCCCCCTCCCACAGACGGGGCTGCTAAGGCTCAGAGACATGAAGACGCCTGCTCAGGGTCACTCCAGCACCCAGGGCAGAGGCCCACTGGCCTGGCTGTCCCTCCAGCGCTAAGTTCACATCATGTAGCTCGGGGCTTGCCCTCCACCTGACCCAGGGCCCACACACAGGCAGTTTGGGAAGCCTCATTTCTGTGCCTTCTGAAAGTCCCGAAAGCTTGGCTGGGCTTCTGTTCCCACACCCCTAGTTTATGGATGGGGAGACCAACGTGCCACTTTCTAGGAGAGGAGTCCTGGCTCCTGGACACGCTGTGCCCTCCCTGCTGGCTACAGGCAGGGGTGGCCAGGACAAGGGGGTGTCTGGTGACATCAGCGCCTCTAGAGCCAAGCCTCGCTGGCTGACCTCCGGGTGGGACGCAGTCGGAAGGGAGGCATCCAGGGTGGGCACGGGCCTGGGATCACACGCCCCTGGGCACCTTGACCACCTTTTACAAAATGTGGTCACATCCACGACAGAGTCTGTGCTCTGGGACAGGAAAACAGGCCGTGGGAGAGAAGCAGTTCCACACGTCTGCTAGGAGGCCATACCGGTTAGGGAGGGCTCAGTGCAGGGAGGGGATGAACACACTGCCTGCAGGAAACGGCCTGAAAAGGGTGCTTTCTGTAACTGGGAAGGAAGATCCCCACTTCCTTGGGTCTGCCCGTTTCCCTGTGGTGCTTTCCTGACTGGACCAGCTGTGTCGCAAGGCAGCTGCCGTGTGGGATCTACTCTAGCAGCGTGGCCCCCTGGAGGGGCTGCATGCCTGGGCTGCCCTGTGGATCTGGCTTTGAAGGTGGCCTCTGTCACTTACAGGTGAAGTTGGGCACATGGCTTCTCTCTCTGAACCTCGGTTTCCTGATCTGTAAAACGGGTATGGGGAATACTTCAGCCTTAAAAAGGGAGGGAATTCTGACATCCATGCTAAAACATGGATGAGGGCTTTCTATTAACTGGAGTAAGCCAGACATCAAGAGACAAATACTGTTACAATTCCACCTTTATGAAGTACCTAGGGCAGTCAACTTTATAAAGACAGAAAGTAGAGGGGCACCTGGGTGGCTCAGTGGGTTAAGCATCCGGCGCTTGATTTTGACTCAGGTCCTGATCTCAGGGGTGTGAGATCAAGTCTTGCATCCGGCTCTGCGCCGGGTGTGGAGCCTGCTTAAGATTTTCTCTCTTCCGGGGCGCCTGGGTGGCTCAGTCGTTAAGCGTCTGCCTTTGGCTCAGGTCATCATGATCCCAGGGTCCTGGGATCGAGTCCCGCGTCGGGCTCTCTGCTCAGCAGGAAGCCTGCTTCTCCCTCTCCCACTCCCCTTGCTTGTGTTCCCTCTCTCGCTGTTGCTCTCTCTGTCAAATAAATAAAATCTTTAAAAAAAAAAAAAAAGATTTTTCTCTCTTCCCCTCTCCCTCTGTCTCACCCCATCTCTCTCTCTCTCTCTCTCTCAAAAAAAAAAAAAAAGTAGAATGGTGGTGGCCAGGGGCTGGGGAAGGGGAAATAGGGAGCTAGAGTTTAATTGGGGACGGGGTTTCAGTTTAGCTAGACGGAAGCGTTCTGGAGACCCATGGTGGTAGTGGCTGCACAATGGAAGTGTACTTAATGACACTGAATTATATACCTAAAAAAGTTTAAAGGGGTAAATTTTATGCTATGTATACATTACCCGAATAAAACTATCTTGAGAAAAAAAATGGGTGGGGGTGCCTGGCTGGCTCAGTCGGTAGAGCATGACTCATGACTCTTGATCTCAGGATTGTGAATTCACCATGTTGGGTGTACAGCTTACTTTAAAAAAAAAACGGTGCCAGAACAATGTGCATGTCCTGGACTTGGCTATGAGTCTTCAGTCTGGGAACGGGAGCTGCCTCCCCCGCCCTCCGTGGGTGTTTAGTTCCCTTGAGTCACTGGCTCCTGGAGCCGGTCCCTGCATGGAGATCCCTACCTGGGGGGTCTGTTTCCTTCCCCAGGGCCCTCGGGGTTGGGAGGGCCAGGAGCCTCTGCTTCCTCCCCATCAGGATGTGTAGCCCTGCCCACATCCACCCGAAACTCAACTGCTGCCCTGCCTCCCCGCCACACCCAGGCCCTGCCCTGTCCTGTCCCGCTCTCACGCCCTCTCTTGAGACCCACTGATTTTGTTGAGCACCTCCTGTGTTCCGAAGACTTCTGCCCTGTCCCCCTCTCATGCCCTATCTTGAGACCCACTGATTTTATGAGCACCTACTGTGTTCTGAAGGCTTCTGCCCTGAAGGAGCGTGACAAGGAGGTACCAGAACTGCCTGCCTGCCCCACTCTGCGCTAAGCACGGTGAAAGCCTGCAATTCTGTGGTCGCTACCCAGCAGCGCCGTGAGGTGTTTGTGCAGAACCTGAGGCCTAAAGCCAGTGAGGTCCTCGCCCAAGGCCCTGCAGTGAGGTCAAGGCGGGCAGAACCCAGCTCAGGCTTGTTGGCCCCTGGCTTCCCCCCCACATCCTCAGCGAGAGCTACTTGAGAGCAGGCTGCCCCAACCACCTAGCTGTTTCTTCTCGGGGGTCTGGTTGCGGGGCAGGCGCCCCTTCCCTGGTATCCCTGTGGACTAAGGCCTGGCGTTTGGCACCTGCATCTTCTTCCCAGTTTTCTCCCAAAACCCCGTCAGAGAGAAGCGGTGACTTGTCCAGAGTTCCACAGTGAGGCGGTGGCAGAGGTGAGACAGATACACGGGGCAGCTAGAGGGTGATCCCCACCCTCCAGACAGGCCACCCCCACGAGGCTGGTCCTGCGCTAGACTCCCAACTCTGCCTTCCCAAGCCAGGGTGCCTGGCTCTGTCCCCCGCACCTCCACGAAGGCCTTCTCAGCAGGGAGGTGGCATCTGTCTCTCGGGCTGTAGCCACAGCTGCCCCTTGCCCTGTCTCAGGCTCTGCCTCTCCCACTGCTGCCCACACACTCACACTGAACCGAGAGGCCCCTGAGGTGTGGACACACCTTTGTCATTTTTATTGTCCCCGGAGGGCTGAGCCAAGGGCGGGATGGCAGCGAGTTCAGGATGTGCTGGAGACCGGGTGTATGGGGCCGGGGGAGGGTAAGAGCCAGCCGAACCAGAACGGAACGGACAATGGATGGGGTTGTTTCCTCCCTCTCTCAGCCTCCCGTTCCCTCACCTGTAAACAGAGCAGTGAACAGTTTCCACCTTGGAAGTCAAGAGGCGACTTGTGCAAAGAAAGCCCCGGGACAGCAGGGGCCCAGAGGCAGCTCCTCACTGGAGTGTCCTCACTGGGAGGCTGGCACACCCACTCTCCCTCCAAAACTGGGAGGCTGCAACCACATCCTGCCTGGTCATAAACTGCACCGCCCCCAGCGTCTGGCGTCCTCTTTCTGGACACTGCAGGGGCAGGCTGTTGCACGCCCTCAGGCCCTCTGGCCTGGCCCCTTCTCCCTTCCTGTTCCTAGCCTTTGGGTGCCTGCCTAGTTGTGGACTTGGGGAACTGGGAAGGGAGGGACAAGTGTCCGGGTTTCTTTCAGCTGGAGGCCGACTGTATGATTCAGCAGGTCCTCCCCTGGAGTGCCCCCTTCCCAGGAGTGTGGGTGGTATGAGGAGCCAGCTGGTCATTAGAGGCCCGGGCCTTCCTGTGGGGTGGCCATTCACCCTGGCCTGTGAGTCCTGGCCTCACCAGGAAGGCTGACCTCTGGGCTGGAGCTGGTGGCCCAGGGCGGGTGGTGGCGTCTGCTGGCCCCATCATGACCTGAGTTCTGGGAACCCCAGGGGACAGGGAAGCTGGACTCCAGGGCGTGGTCTCTTGGCACTCTTGGCATAGTCAGGTGGCCAGCGGGTCCGCGCAGCAATGACGTCGCAAATGCGGAGGTGGAGGGACAGGCCTGCGTTTGGTCTTGACTCTGCCCTGAGTAGTAGAGTGACGTTGGGCAGGTGACTTTACTTCCCTGAGCTTAGTTCCTTACACACACACGTAGATGCACACAGCCAGAGATAATATCATGAATGTGATGTCATCTAGCATGGGGCGGAGACCAGTCTTGTTTTCTTGTCCTTTCTCTGCTTGGCCCCACCCCTTACCGTGCGTGTGTGCGCATGCGCGTGCGTGTGCACGTGTGTGTCTGTGTCTCTCCCCTCAGGATCCTATATGGACATAATTACAAGCGCCCTTGCAGAATTTTTTAAACTTCCCTATTTGTTTTACAGAAGTGAGTTCACATCGAGCCCCCTCTTGTACATTTAGATTTCCCACACTTTGATGGAACGTCTTCCGGTCACTGGGGCAGTGTCTCGGCAGCTGGTTCCAAGTGAACTGAGAGTTTTCAGCGTGCCCCTCTGGTCAGTCTGAGCATGAACAGGATGGAGTCTGGACAGGAATTCCCGAATGCTGCCGCTGGAACGCAGGGGGAGGCCACATTAGCAATCTGTTCGTGTGGCTCCTGACTTCGGTGCTCGGTCTTCGTGTCTGTTAAATGGGGAGACTGCCTGCCTTCCCCGGTGGTGGTTTCCCAGCTACCTGGTGACCACTTGGCTTCTGGAGAGAGGCCTATCGGTGGGCCCCCCTGCGAGTGGCAAGGCTGTGACTCCCGGCTGGACTCAAGGTGGAATTTTGGACAATGGGTCCATTGTCTCCTGTCTCCTAGTCGGCCAGGCCGCCCTGCAGTAACCCTCTCCTGTGGGTCCTTTTCAGGTTGAACCATGATTCCAGTGACGGAGCTCCGCTACTTTGCGGACACACAGCCAGCATACCGGATCCTGAAGCCATGGTGGGACGTGTTCACCGACTACATCTCCATTGTCATGCTGATGATCGCGGTCTTCGGGGGCACGCTGCAGGTCACCCAGGACAAGATGATCTGCCTGCCTTGTAAATGGGTCACCAAGGACTCCTGCAATGACTCCTTCCGGGGCTGGGCAGCCCCAGGCCCGGAGCCCACCTACCCCAATGCCACGTTGCTGCCGACCCCTGGCACGGGCCCCACAGGCATCAAGTACGACCTGGACCGGCACCAGTACAACTACGTGGACGCCGTCTGCTACGAGAACCGCCTGCACTGGTTCGCCAAGTACTTCCCCTACCTGGTGCTTCTGCACACGCTCATCTTCCTGGCCTGCAGCAACTTCTGGTTCAAGTTCCCTCGCACCAGCTCGAAGCTGGAGCACTTTGTGTCCATCCTGCTCAAGTGCTTCGACTCGCCCTGGACCACCCGGGCCCTGTCTGAGACAGTGGTAGAGGAGAGCGACCCCAAGCCGGCCTTCAGCAAGATGAATGGCTCCATGGACAAGAAGTCTTCGACGGTCAGCGAAGACGTGGAGGCCACCGTACCCATGCTGCAGCGGACCAAGTCCCGGATCGAGCAGGGCATCGTGGACCGCTCGGAGACGGGCGTGCTGGACAAGAAGGAGGGGGAGCAGGCCAAGGCGCTCTTTGAGAAGGTGAAGAAGTTCCGTACCCACGTGGAGGAGGGGGACATCGTGTACCGCTTGTACATGCGGCAGACCATCATCAAGGTGATCAAGTTCATCCTCATCATCTGCTACACCGTCTACTACGTGCACAACATCAAGTTCGACGTGGACTGCACCGTGGACATCGAGAGCCTGACGGGCTACCGCACCTACCGCTGTGCGCACCCGCTGGCCACGCTCTTCAAGATCCTGGCGTCCTTCTACATCAGCCTGGTCATCTTCTACGGGCTCATCTGCATGTACACGCTGTGGTGGATGCTGCGGCGCTCCCTCAAGAAGTACTCGTTCGAGTCCATCCGTGAGGAGAGCAGCTACAGTGACATCCCCGACGTCAAGAACGACTTCGCCTTCATGCTCCACCTCATCGACCAGTACGACCCGCTCTACTCGAAGCGCTTTGCCGTCTTCCTCTCGGAGGTGAGCGAGAACAAGCTACGGCAGCTGAACCTCAACAACGAGTGGACGCTGGACAAGCTGCGGCAGCGGCTCACCAAGAACGCACAGGACAAGCTGGAGCTGCACCTGTTCATGCTCAGCGGCATCCCCGACACCGTGTTCGACCTGGTGGAGCTGGAGGTGCTGAAGCTGGAGCTGATCCCGGACGTGACCATCCCGCCCAGCATCGCCCAGCTCACGGGCCTCAAGGAGCTGTGGCTGTACCACACGGCGGCCAAGATTGAGGCGCCCGCCCTGGCCTTCCTGCGTGAGAACCTGCGGGCCCTGCACATCAAGTTCACGGACATCAAGGAGATCCCGTTGTGGATCTACAGCCTGAAGACCCTGGAGGAGTTGCACCTGACAGGCAACCTGAGTGCCGAGAACAACCGCTACATTGTCATTGACGGGCTGCGCGAGCTCAAGCGTCTCAAGGTGCTGCGGCTCAAGAGCAATCTGAGCAAGCTGCCGCAGGTGGTCACCGACGTGGGCGTGCACCTGCAGAAGCTGTCCATCAACAACGAGGGCACCAAGCTCATCGTCCTCAACAGCCTCAAGAAGATGGTGAACCTGACCGAGCTGGAGCTGATCCGCTGCGACCTGGAGCGGATCCCGCACTCCATCTTCAGCCTCCACAACCTGCAGGAGATCGACCTCAAGGACAACAACCTCAAGACCATCGAGGAGATCATCAGCTTCCAGCACCTGCACCGCCTCACCTGCCTTAAGCTGTGGTACAACCACATCGCCTACATCCCCATCCAGATCGGCAACCTCACCAGCCTTGAGCGCCTCTATTTGAACCGCAACAAGATCGAGAAGATCCCCACCCAGCTCTTCTACTGCCGCAAGCTGCGCTACCTGGACCTCAGCCACAACAACCTGACCTTCCTCCCCGCCGACATTGGCCTCCTGCAGAACCTCCAGAACCTGGCTGTCACGGCCAACCGGGTGAGTGGCCTGGCTGCGGCTCTTGGGGGGGGGGGGGGGGGGGGTTTGCTCAGGAGGCACAGCGTCTTGGGGTGGTCGGGTCCTCACCTGTGGTTCCCAGAACCACCCAGGAGGGGCTTGTTGGGAATACAGATCCCTGGGGGCCCCCCTGCCCAGACCTGTTGACTCGGGATCTCTGGGCCGGGGGCCCTGTCTTTGCCACAGAATGTTGCAGAGTCCTCCTGCCGGGAGGGCTGGTGTTGTCAGGCGGGGTCGGTCCCCCGAGGTGACTTGGGGTGGGTTTCTCATAGGCAGGGCTGGGTTGTGGGAGGCGGGACTTAGCCTGGAGCCTGTTCTAGACCACATCTGGAGCCGAGGGGCCAGTCTGGGTCCATGGGGGTGGCTGGTGTCCGTGGGTGGCTGGTGCTCACCAAGGCCGAGCCGGGTGGTCTCTGCAGCTCTTGGCCCTGCTCACACCCTTCCCCCTCTGCTTGTCACCACCTGCCTTTCTAGAGAGGAAATTGTACAAACCATCACAGGCCGGCAGTATGGGAGGCCACGCTCTGGAGACGCTCAGGAAACCATTGGTAGCCCTGTGTACCAGCCCCTTGCCTGGCCAGGGAAGCCCCCCACCCACAGGCCCCTTTTCAGAGGCAGGCGGGTGGGGTTGAGGGCCACCTGATCCTGTGGCTTTGTGGTCTGGCCCCTGTGGTGCAAAAAGAGCTGCAGCCACTGGAAGGACCGCCCCCTGCCCACCCCTCCTGGGGACCTACGGAAAGGTGACCCGTTCCCGGTTTCTACTTTCAAGGTGGAGACACAGTGAGGCAGGTGGTGGTGGGATCCCAAAGCCCGGGGTGGAGACCTGGTTCAGACACCACCTCTGCCCCTCCCCTGCAGACGGTGGCACAAAGCAGCCCACGCTGTGCGGGGCACGATGCTCCCAACAGGAACTCTCTCCAGCAGCCTCGGAGGCAGAGGCGGGTGGTCCCCTGAAATGTGTCCCCCCCCCGCCCCAGGAAGGGACACACCTTCTCCAATGTCACTCAGATTGGAGGGTCTGGGCCCCCCTCCCCTGTTCTCTAAGCCCCTCTTACTGCAAACCAGCCTGACTCTTCCGTATATCAGAGTTTGACTCTGATATACGGAAGAGTCACAAACTCTATCTTCCAACGCCCCAAATTATGACTGTGAGTGTCCAAGGACGAAGGTCAGATCCCAGATTGCTTCACGTGGGAGCATCTGTCCCCAGGGCCTGGGACAGGCCACAGATCAGGAAAATTGGACTCCTGGGGGAAAGCCGCATGTGGGGAGCACCAGACAGACCCCAACCTCTTCTTTAAGGCCTTCCCCCAGCACACAGTGTGGGGGCCAGATTGCCCCTGGAGTTGGGTCCAACTAAGGCACCTCGCGACCCTTTGTAACCTGCCTCCTCTGTCCCGGCTGCCCGGCTGCCCGCAGGCTCCGCACCGGCTCTGTGCGGGCTCTGTGCGGGCACCCGGGGCTTGCTGGGCCCTCCTTCCTGGTGGAGGGCGCATCAGGCATCCAGCCTGGCTCGCAGTTCCATACCCTACCCCCAGCTCCTCACCCCTAGCAGCCCTGTTAGGTCACATCACACCTGTTGGCTGAGGTCACCTCTCCGGAAAGGAGCTGGCCACAGGCTCGCTGTGCCGAGGAAGGAGACCCTCTGCACGCCCTGTTTAGCACACTGCTTAATCACATCCTGTCTCCGCCCGTGGAATGCCAGAGGCCTTTGTCGGGAAAAAGTTCACTGGGGCTGATCCTTGTCAGGCCCATGCTTTTTTTAAAAATTTTTAAAATTATTTTTACTTTTTTAACTTTTTAATTTTTTTATTAACATATAATGTATTATTTGTTTCAGGGGTACAGTTCTGTGACTCATCAGTCTTACACAATTCACAGCGCTCACCACAGCACATACCCTCCCCGGTGTCCATCACCCAGCCACCTTATCCCTCCCACCCAAGGCCCATCCTTTTAAGCTGGAGCCCCTCTCTTCCTCCTCTGTGAGCCCCCCGGGGCTGCAGGTAGACGGAGGGGTGGGTGTGACCCGGCCCAGGCCCTTAGCTGCTCTTTCCCCAGGTTTAAACTCACGTGAATAGGCGCAAAAGATGCGTTCGTTTGTCTACAGATCCATTTATTCATTCTTTCATTGATTTGGCAAATGGTTTTCACGTACTCCTGGGGTAGGGGAAGGTGCTAGTGACACGGGGACAAATAAAGCCCACTGGCTGCACATCTAGAGGCTCCTGGGCACACACAAGAATGGTCTCACCCCAGATTTAGGGCAGGCAGACCTCCTGGAGGAGGGGACATCTCCCCTGGCCCTGAAGATGCGGGGACGTTAGCCAGATGAAGAGGAAGTGGAGAGTCTAGTAGGTTCTGTCAGTGGGAGGGCGAGCGGTGAGTTGAGCAGCCCCTGGAATTTGGACTTTCCTCTGAGGCCAGGGCTGGAGGAGAGTTCTGTTCTTCCCACTCATTTCCATCGGATCTTCTTTGTTCCCCTTGTCTGGTGACGTGGATCTTGGCTCCTCCATTCAGTGCCTGACACACAGCAGATGTTCACCAAATTCTCTGAGTAGATGAAGAAACGAGCTGACTTATCATTGGGAGAGATTGTTCTTGCTGCAGTGTGAGGGGGTGGGTTTGAGGGGCAAGATGAGAGGGGTCAAGAGCTGGCAGAAACCCAGGTGCAGCCATTGGCAGGGGTGAAGCCTGGACTGAGGCTGCCCTGGCTGGAGCGACTTTGGCGGGAGAATCCGCAGGATGGGGCTGGATTGGATGGGGGAGAAGGGGAGAGGTCTGAGTGACTCGGGGTTTCTCACTTGGCTGCCTGGGAAGATGGGTCACTGAAACAGGATGCAGGAGGAGTCACTGGTTTTCAGAGAGGAGACTGTATGTCCCATGTTGAGTGTCTGGAGCCCCTGGGGCGTCCAAGGGACCATGTTGAGTCAGCCTGAAGCTCAAGGAGTCGTCCTTATCCCCGCTGGGCTCCTGGATGAAGAGGGGTCCTTGTCGGGATCACCGGGGGGAGAGAGGAGTCTGGCTCAAGCCTTTGGGGTCGAAGCGGAAAGAGTGAGGCCAGGCGGGAGTGTGTGGGCTTACAACAGCGCGTGGGACAGTTGGGTGAAGGAACGGATTCAGGTCCAGTGGATTAGGAGGGACTGTTGCTGACTCTGGCCAGATAGTTTTGGGGGTGGACAGGGCAGAAGCTGGATCACAGCTGAAGAGAGACAGCATGTTTTTCCACGTGGTTTGTCAGGAGGTGGGGAGGGCGATGGAGCAGCCCCCGAGGCTTCTGGGAGGATTGTCTCTTTTTTCAAAGACTAAGTGGACTTGAGGCTACTTCAGTGCTGATGGGGGAGCCATCGAGGTTCCTGGGAGGTAGGAGAGGGCAGGATCAGGGTGATAGGACAGGACCCCAAGCCTTTGGCAGCCGAGTGACAGAAGTGTCCTTGGGAAGAGGACAGGTCCAAAGGACATGGGTGGCTGTGGTGGGCGCCAAGCTATTGGAGCACCTCTCTTTCCTCTGTGGGACCTGGAGAGAGAGCTCATTGGCTAGGGCAGGGGGTGCTGGGGAGGGGGCGTTTTGGGGAGGGAGCTCTGCCCGTGAACCCCAGCTGTGGCACTCACTGGGTCAAGCCTTTCGTGCTGCCCTGACCCCTGTCTGAGCCACCAGAGGAGTCCACTGTCGGGGGGAGCGGGCTCTTTGGGAGGCTCAGGCCCCTCAGTCCTGCCAGAGCCCTGTCATGCCCTCTCACCTTCGTGTCCCTGACCTTCAGCCCTGCTCACCTGGGAGGCCACCTTGGCTCCATCCCTGACCGCTGGGCACAACAGCGGCTGTTTCTGGAGGCCCAGGTCGGGGGTCTCTTTTAAAACAAGTCACCCAAGATTCAGGTCTACCCAAAGGCCCTCAGGCACAGAGCATTGAAGGCGAGAGGCATTTCTCGTCCTACCTTTCATTCTACAGAGGGGGAAACCGAGGCCCAGGGGGAGGGAAAGGGACTTGCCACTGAGCGCCATATTTGGCAGAATGGGAACATGGTGCAGGCTCTGAATCAGAGGAAGCAAAAGGCTTGCTTACATTCTCTCCCGAGCTTCCTGCCCGCGCGGTCTTGCACACGTATTTCACTTCTGCAGGCCTCAGCGGGACAATGGGGACAGTGACAGAGCCACCTCACAGGGGTTATTAAACAGTCTCTCCATCATCCTCACGTGGGGTCGCGTGGGGTCCCTCCTGCCCAGCCTTCTGAAGGAGACATTTCTGGCAGATAGGCTCAGTGAGAACCCAGGTTTGTATCCGACTCCTCGCAGAAGGGCCGGGAAGAAGGTGGCCAGAGACACAGCAGGTCCCCACTCGGGCCCCACGGTTTGCTCCTCGCTCCACCGACGGCGTGGACAGATAGCAGAGCACGAGCTGTTGAACCTGGTTCAATCTTGGCTCCACCATGTTCCAGCTGTGAACCTCTGGGCAGGTTAGCTTCTTTAGGGCCTCCTCGGTGAAATGTCACTCCATCTGGAAAGCAGAAGTGTTTATAGGGTATTTACAGGGGGTTCTGATGGGTAAATGAGGTAATAGTATCAGTGCTCAGAGCCAGCCCACTGTGTAGGAAGCTGGGTGGGGATGTCACCTGTCATCAAATTTTGGAAACTCAGGAGGGGAATGGCCAATATTGGGCTCCCTGCACTCATGATCAGGGTGTGACTTGACAGATGAGGGGACCGAGGCCCAGGACAGGGAGGTGACAGAGCTGGGGTCCCCACCCCTATTGGAGTGCTCCTCACAGTTCTCAGCAACTGGGGTGTGTGATTTTCTCAGCATGCCGTTCTCTTTCATAAATTATTCTTAAACCAGGCAGGCCCCAGAGCCTGGCTCCTGATGAGCCCTGGGCAATGGAGGAGGGGGCAGAGTTGATAGTAGCTGGCCAGTGTGACATGCTTCTTCGGGTGCCGAGCGCTGGGAGACAGGGGGGAACCAGAGGGCCCCAGCCCTGCCTTCTCAGAGCCTGGTCCGGGAGTGACAGGTGATCAAGCAGCTTCACCATGGAGGGATTGGTGACGCCGGGGGCCATGGGCGCCCTAGGTTACCCAGGAGGTCAGGGAAGACTTCCCGGAGGAAGTGACTGCGGAGCTGAGACTTCCCATACAGGTGGAGGTCAGCCAGGCTTTAGGCCAGACGGTGCTGCGGCCTGGGCCCAGGGAGCTGAAATGGGCTTCAGAGGGGATGCTGGTGCCTGGGGACAGGGATGGGGGTGAGGGGGCAGGGAGAAGCCTCGGCCAAGTCCCCAGATCTGAGCTGTGCCCCTCACTTTGGCCCTCTGCTCCTGCCCTTCCAGATCGAGGCGCTGCCCCCGGAGCTCTTCCAGTGCCGGAAGCTGAGGGCCCTGCACCTGGGCAACAACGTGCTGCAGTCACTGCCCTCGCGGGTGGGCGAGCTGACCAACCTGACCCAGATCGAGCTGCGGGGCAACCGGCTGGAGTGCCTGCCCGTGGAGCTGGGCGAGTGCCCGTTGCTCAAGCGCAGCGGCCTGGTGGTGGAGGAGGACCTGTTCAACACGTTGCCACCCGAAGTGAAGGAGCGGCTGTGGAGGGCCGATAAGGAGCAGGCCTGAGCGCCGGCGGACAGCTGAGCACCGGGTCTCTGAGGAGTCCTCGGGGCCCAGGGACCCAGACACCCAGGGACGACCAGCCGGGCCTCAGCCAGGGCAGGAGCCTGGGGCTGGATGTTGGCTGGGCTATGGCCACGGAACAGTACCTGAGGGGCTGGCCCCTTTCCTCCTTCTGAGACTCATGCCCCCCCCAGGGCGGGCGCCTGTCAGGGAGAGCAGAGACCTATGTCTTAGAGTGCAGTATTTGGACAATCAGGGCCTCCCCCCTGGAGGCCATCTCTGCCCGAGAGGCTGAGCTGATGCCAGAGGCCCGGGGACACCCACTTAGCTCTTGGTATTTATTTTTCTCCACTTCGCATCCCCTCCCTCCGGATAACTTATACATTCCCAACAAAGTTCAGCTCCGATCGGGGGTATGTAAGGAAGGGTGGGTAGTTTCCCTTTTCCTTTTTTGGTGATGCCCCCGGCAGTACCACCCAGACTTGAGCAGAGGGGTCCAGGGAGAACCAGCTGTGACAGTTGCCCCAGGGGTGCTGGGCTGGGCTCTGGCGGTGTGGCCCAGGGGACAGCAGACCGCCAGGTGGAAAGGCCAGGCCTGGGGCTGGTCCTATCAGTTTTAGATTTTTTTTTTTTTTTAAGTAAAAAGAAAAAAAAAAGAACTTTTTTTTAAAGCTTTGAAAATTGATGGTTTGGGTATTAAAAAGAAAAAAAAAACACTAAAAAAAAACTAAAAAAAGAAACAAAAGACAGTGAAGGCCAGTGAGTTGGGGTCTCAGGGCAGGACGGCAGCTTCCCTTGAGCAAAGCAGCAAGACACTGAACTGTTTCCTTCCCCCCCCGGGGTGAGGGCTACAGGATGTCTTCGAGTCTGGTGTGACCTTGGTCCAGGAGTTCTGTTTTTTCCTCTCTTCTCCTAGGGCGGGGTTTTTTGTTTTGTTTTGTTTTGTTTTTGGTGTCTTGTTTTCTTTTTCCTCCATGTGTCTTGGCAGGCACTCATTTCTGTGGCTGTTGGCCAAAGGGAATGTTCCAGAGCTGCCAAGAAAGGAGGAGACTCGGGTTGGCTAATCCCCGGATGAACGGTGCTCCATCCTCCCTATCCGTCCCTCGTCACAGTGTTAAGGAGCCAGGAGGAGCTACCTCGCCCGGACTCTGCTTTCCCACCTCATGTGTCATGAGTTTGCCTAGTGACACCCCTAGCCTCAGCCGCTGACATCAGCCCTGTCACCGCCTGGTCCTTCAGAAGAGACACTTGGAGGCAGGGTCATGGGTGGGGAGGTCGCCGCTGGGAGGGGCAGGCTCCCCAGGTTTGGGTTTCCAACTTCTGTCCCAGGCGCCAGGCACACACACAGCCCTGTCGGCGCCTGGTGGCAAGAAGCCACCTCACTTTAGATCAGTCACAGGGGTCCCTGCATTAGAAGGGTTTCCCGCCTTAGATCAATCACTTGGACACTAAGGCACGTTTTAGCGTCTCTTTTCTTAACGATTATGTCCATTTGTCTGTCCATTTGTGTTTTCTGCGTCATGTCAGCAGATGTAATCCTCAGAAATAATGCACACTAGCCTTTGACAACCATGAAGCAATCCGTTACATGAGGGTCTGAACTTGTAGACTCCGTTCAAATATCAAATAAATCTATAACAGAAAGTAGCCTTTGGAGATCTCCGTGTCGTGGGGGGGACCCTACCCTCAGCTCTCTGGGTGTGGCTGGGCCCTGTGGACTGGTTTGTTGAACGGCCACTGACGGGCATCTAGAAGGTGGGTAACTGCCCTTCTCCCTGCCCTTTGGAGGCCGCTACTGGGCGTGGGCTGGACAGAGCGCCTGCTACATGTCAGGCGTGGCCTGGGCCAGGAGTCCTGCCGCTGGCCTGGTCACCTGGGGTTTGGGCCTTCATGAGCTTTGATGGGTGGGGGGGCCGGGGCGGGGAGGGGGACGCTGGAATGGGAGCCAGTAGTCTCCATTCTTGTCCCAGCTCTATTATTCCCTGCATGAAGCCAGGCTGACCCCTTCCCTCCCACGGCCTCCATATCCCCATCTGTGCAGTGGACGTTTCCACTCTGTGCTCTCATAGGGTCCCTCGTAATTCCCAGCAGCCGTTCCCCTGGGCTCTGCAGAGGTGGGGCTGAGAGTCACTGTGGGGGAGCCGGCTCCTAGCCCCTTTGGGAGCCTGCTGAAGGTGCTGGGGTCCATTGCAGAGGCTCAGGGAGAAGGGCAGAGCTGCCTTCAAATCGTAGCTCTGCCCTTTATCTGATGTGGAAGCACAGTTTCCTTGTTTGTAACATCAGACTAGTATTGGCAACCTCGCAGGATTGTTCTGAGGCTTACTTGAAGTTGCCTTTTAGTTGGCAAATAGTTGGCTTTTAGTGCCCAATAACTGATATCCTCCTCCTGGACCAGTGAGCTTTGCGCTGGGTTGCCGTGGGGACCCAGGGGCAGGGGGCTTTTGGTGAAGAAGAAAGGCCATGTGTCTGACCTCCGCCTCAGTGATTAGGCCTTAGCTGCTGCTTGGGCATCTCCTCTGGAACAGGCCAGAGTCTGTCCTTCCTCCCTCCATGGGACTGTGACCCCTCCGGGTCACCTCAGGGCTGAGCAGCTGGGCTGTGATCCCCTCTGAGACCCTCCTGGGTCTCCCCAGTGGAGGTCCTCCCCTCCTGTCTGGTCTGGTATCCCCCCACCAACTCCCACCCCCCACGCAGTCTTGGGGCCGCCGGGCGCCACCAGGGGCAGGAGTGTTGGATCCGGAGCTGGTAGGCTTTTGGGGGGGAAAAAAAAAACCCACCTCCCAAAGCCTGAGCAGGATGAACGAGCAAATCTCAGAGTCTCAACCCCTCCTCCTCCCATCTGGACCCCCCAGGGCTGTCTACTCCCAGCCTCAGTGGTATAATCTTTCCATGGATGACAAGAGCAGTTTGGAAAATGGGGAAGTTCAAAAATCAAAATACCCTCACATTTCACCCAGAACAGCCCCAGCTAACTTTTGGTGAACAGCTGATAGGCACTTTTAGTAAGTGCTAGGCCCTGTGCCAAGCTCTTTATTGGCAGTAAAGCATTCCTCTTCCTCCTTATGAGAGGTTATCCCCAAACTACAGATGGGGAAAGCAAGGCCCAGGCCCAGACTCAAACCCAGTCTGCCTCACTAAGCCTCCACTACAAGACTTTGGTGGGGGTTCCCAGGGGAGCTGCTAGCCCAGCACGATGGGACCCTCGTGCCCCCGACCCATGGTAGGCGTCCCTGTATTTGTTGGGCAGTTGCATCAGATGGGGCCAGGACAGCTGGGGACGGGCCTTGCCTCAAGCGAGCCTAGTCTCACTGTATTGCCTGCATAGTTTGTCTTCCGCCTGCCCTTCTCACCCAACTGAGCTCCTCGGAACCTCTCCTCCATTCTCAGGAGCCTGGCCACCCCTCTCCCCGGCCCTCGGGAATTGGCACCGGGCAGTCACTCCCAGTGCAGTGGGCCCAGAAAACACGACTTGACTTGGGGCCAAGGCTCCTGAAGGCTGAGCTCATGTCCCCACGCTCCATCCCAAGACATTCTGTCCCTTCACCATTCAGAAAAATGTCATTTCGGGGAAGGCCAGCGGCCAGTCTTCAGGAACTACAGCCAAAATGGGCCCGTCAGCTGCTGAGCAGGGCTGGTGGCGTCCACTGTGCCTGCTGGATTTGAGACACCCAACATCTTGGGCCTGGGGGGGCGGGGTGGGAACAGGACCCGGGGTTTCTCCCTCGCTCATTCTGGAGACCCAGGCCCCCATCTATATCCTCTTCTTCCTCTTTCTGTTTCTGTTCTTTTCTTTTTAGATTTATTTATTTAAGTAATCTCTGCACCCAATGTGGGGATTGAACTCAGGACCCAGAAATCAAGAGTCACATGCTCTTCCAACTGAGCCAACTAGGTGCCCCCAGCCCCTTCCCCTCTAAGATAGCCCTTTATCTGCTGTCTTCCTCTGAGCTGTAGGCTGACCCTTCCATCTTTCCCTAATCCTCCCAAGACGGACAGAGTTTCAGGGGATCAGAGCTGGGAGAGGCCCAGACAATTCTCTGAGGGACCTTTTCCACCTTCGGAACACAAAGCCACTCGGCCTGGTCTGACCAGTCTGATGTGTATCCCCCCACCCCCGCCCCACGTTGATGCTGGCGGCCTGGGGACTTTCTAATCCACGCGTGAAGTCCAGAGAGGGGCTGACATTCGTCAGAGGTCCCCGTGAGTCAGGGTGCCTGGACTGGGACTCAGGGATCCTCCTGTCTACCCAGCTTCTTTGCACTGACACTCCTGGAATACAATCTCTAGGCACCTGTTTAGCAGCCAGAAGGGGGTGGTTTCTGCAAAGCAACTGGGAGGGAGCCCTTAAAAACCATGAAGGACATTGGAAAGGGCTAATCCTGGATTAACTACGGATGGACCCAGGGTATTGAGCTAGGTCAGAGGCAAGGGCTCCATCCAGGCACAGAAGTGATTGGGGGGGGGGGTGGTAATTCAGTCTGGTGTGTGTGCTTGGGGGAGGAGAGGCTGGGGGCTGGGGTTGGGTTTCCTCTGGGTAGGCAAGGGTTAAGTCCCCCTGGGCCTCCCAGGCTCCAGCTGCTCTGCACCCCCACCTTACTAGGAACTTCCGAACTGGAACTTGACCTTCATACTCTAATTTGTATTTTCTCCTCTCTGGCCTCCAGCAGCGCAGCACCCAGAGTCTCATCCTCATGGCCTGCCCGAGCCCCTCCCAGCTCCAGAAGGTAGGGTCATGTGGGGTGGGGGTCCGAGAGGTCAGGGAAGAGTTGGGGGTGCCTCCGCGCCTCTAGTAGACCCTGGGAAACTCAACCTGACCCCCTGCCATTTTTCAGAAGAGGAAACTGAAACCCAGAGTGGTCAGTGTCCAACCACGACCCCTAACTTCTGCACACACAGCCGGGGGCCGTCAGGGCCACAGGTTCGGAGTGAGGTGGGAATGTACTGGGACTGAAACCAGAATAAAGAGTAAAGATCAGGGGCGCCTGGGTGGCTCAGTCGGTTGAGCGTCTGCCTTTGGCTCCGCTCGTGATTTCGGGGTCCTGGAATGGAGCCCGCAGCGGGCTCCCTGCTCAGCAGGGAGTCCGCTTCTCCCTCTGCCTCTGCCTGCCCGCCCTGCTCCGGATCCGGCGCACTCGCGCTCTCTTTTATTTATTTCTCAGATAAATAAATAAAATCTAAAACAAAAACAAAACAAAACAAAAAGTAAAGATCAGCCAGTTCAGGCCCAGGAGTGGGCCCTGAGGGCAAAGAGGGCAAGACGCGGGGG